TAAACATCCAGCTCAATTTCTGATCCTTGTCTAGTTCTTTTACACCCCTTTGATTGGTCACACCCTCAACAAAAACGGTTGCGATTGGCTCTTGCGCGCTGCGTTCTTCACAGATGAGTGATACTGATAAGCGGCAGCGGCGATCTCACAGCTGATGTATGATAGACACTGTGGAGGAAACTCTGCAGACACGCGCTCGTTTCTGTATGCAAAAGTAACGCTGTAAAACAGCCGAGAAGAGAAGAAAAGTCACGCCAGCAGGTCAAATGGGCCACTGTGTGTGTGTGAGAAAGAGAGAGAGAGACAGAGAGAGAGAGAGAGAGAAATGGAGTAGGCTACTTTCATTCTCTTGATCTCAGTGAAATAGGATCTATTGTTGTAGATGTCAGTGAAAGACTGATCCAGCAAACACAAACAGTGAAATTGTGCACAGTTTATGAGTTTTAAGTAGTTAAAGCGTTGTAAATACTCGCGATTGCCTCCCTCGCGACAGAGCACATATGAGGTAAATGACGTCAGTAATAACCGGTTATCATTATTACTGAACCGATACCGAATTGTCTGCGTCTGCATCGCAGTGCACCGAAGAAACGATTAATTTTGACACCCCTAATATATATAAATATATATATATATATATATATATATATATATATATATATATATATTTTTTTTTTTTCTTGTAACGGAAAATAAATTGACGTATTTTGGATACAGCAAAATGTCTTTAAATAGTTCTTGAAGGAACACATTTGACACTGTTAAGGTATGAAGTGTCTTGTCGCTGCAGTGGTGCCTTCATGGATCAGATTTGTACCTGTGATGAAGGTACAATATTGTATCTGCTGGTTTTAAAACCAAAGGGACATTTTGGTTTCCCATGGTACAAATCATGTCCTTAAAACGTACAAGCTGCAATGGCACACATTAGTTTCTTTGTCTTAAGGTATATTTCTGTTCCATAATAAGGTGCTGCCCCAGTGAAAAGGGTCTGTACCTTCTTTGGTACCACATTGTACCATTTTTGTCTGAGGGTGTAGAATCTTGAGGAAATTAATGAACTTAATCCATTTTGAAATAAGGCTGTAACATGAAAAAAATGTGGAAAAAGTGAAGCGATATGAACACTTTCCGGATGCACTGTGTGTGTATATGTATATATATATATATATGTATATATATATATATATATATATATATATATATATATATATATATATATATATATATATATATATATATATATATATATATATATATATATATATATATATATATATATAT